CCACACACGAAGTTATCTTTTCCAAATTTTTTCTGTTGTGCTCAGTATCTAAGTAATATTTTCTTGTTCCGCAAAATTCATGAAATAGCTTGACGGCAATCAGACACAAACATGGGGAAAGGGCTTAGAATATTGGACTTCCACAAATGGAATACCGTCCTGTGCATCGCCAATAGCAGTCACCAATAACACAACAGTCGATCATTAGTACGCATAGTTCTGGGTTCTTGGAAAATTGTCAGTGAACAAAACCAAGATGGGCCCAAATGGATACATTTCCCAAAGTCTTCATTTCAATGTTGTACTTTCTTTGCCGAAAGCCTCAACCAATCAGGTGGCACAGCAATTTCACGTTGATATCCGGGGTACACAAATCACGGTGCCCAACGGAGAGCTTGGGAGCTGTCAGTGATGAAGTTGCAACACCAATCAGGACCTGCCGCCAGGACGACAGGGAACTGGTGCTGAAAGTTGCCTATTCGCGCAGCTGCATAATGACCACCGTTTCACTGGGTGGATCACTTATGACTCAGCTGGCGAGGGACTCATGTTTGACACGTGTTTTGACTGTGTGGGATGGCCCGAGTATGCCACCACCGGCTAGAAAAAAAGAGAATGGAAACAAAAACTGGTCAAGTGCTTGCGCTTTTAGTAGTATAGCAAACTGGTAATGATAATTGAGAGGAATTTATGCCTCAAGGGAGCTTGGTGACGACTGAGCAAAACCCTATGCATTAAGAGTATTCAGTGAAAGCTGCTTCGTCAGTATTGATTGCGGCTCCCAATTTCTGGTGGAGCTGTGAATCCTGAAAAATGATATTGCCCAGTTTGGGTGTATCTCTATTTGTCCTCGAGGCCACTCACTCCCGGCTAAGAGGCTTCTGGCCTGAAAAAGGCTAAAAGGGACCATGCACGACTGAAAGCTTGGGCCCACACAGCTGAAATATTGCTATGAAGAAAACATACGTGCTGGCTATGGTGCTAGCCGTTTCATCACATCACCTTTATCCAGATTCGATCCCATATGCTGATGTCTCTTTCCAACTATGGGTAGGGTCTGATTTAACGGCCACAAAGCTGTGTTTTGGGCTGTGTTGGTCAGGCGTTTAGGCCCCAAGAAACATGTTGGGAAGTATCTTGCCTCAGCATGGGGTTGTATTGGTGTATTGCCCAACCTGCCCACTCTTCGGTGGTTCTGGATGTTGAGTTTATCATGATGCTCTAAAATGTCATTGAACAAGTGATAGGAGTTGAGAAATGCAAAAAGGTAAGGAAAAAACTCTTGAACAAGGAGTTTTGGACCGGTCAGAGCACCCATGATTGGTTTGGGCATTTGGGGACATCTTACATTGTCAATTACATGATATTGTGCTCCGTTGGGTAATATCTCTTTCTATCCATGGAATCACTCAATTGCGTGCTTGTGGGGTTGTCCCCTAGTCACTCATATTGCAGAAACGAGCTTTAAGGAACATACCGGGATGTCTCTTTCTCTGGCATGGCACTGAGTTCATAATTCTTTCCAGCTCGTGCATCTTTTTGGTGTCTTTGACCTGATGCAAGTTATGCTTGCCAGTGAATAAGTGGCTGAGATTTGCTTGCCCCTGTGGAAGTGGTGTTGTAATTAAAGTAGGGCAGCATTGGTGATACGCCGTATGGGTATTAAAACCCATTAAGGCATTATAAATTATATTGAGTTCCATTATTGGAACTCTAGTTTACTAGATACCGTCCCCTTGTCACTGGTCTAGGGTGACTGGCTTCCCTAGACTATGTATGTAGTCTCAAGCCACGTAAAGTACTAGAACATATAAATATATATTATACCGTTTTGTAATGGGTGGTCCGGCGTGAGTCATATGGCTCACGTGCCGTGGCGAGGTGGGTCCACGGACTTAGCAGGAAGGCGCCCACCTTAGCATTAGCCTGTACCATTTGGTTGGCGTTTACCACTAAAAAAGTGGGTGCATACATTTGCCACTGAAAAAGTGGTGTTGCCCTTGAAATTGGGCAGAAATATTTTGTGTGCATCACGTTCATGGTGGGCCCCTGAGAAAGGGATTATGGGATTATAAGAAACTTGCAATATCAGTTTTTGGAAAAGAAACTAAATTTTCTGAATTGGGATTTGAAGCACTGCTCCTGAGAAACGAGTTGTGAGATTATGCATAATTCCAGAGCGAGTTTTTGGAGAAGAAACTAGATTTGGTGAGCAAGTTTTGGGTCGGTTTAAAAGAGAATATGGTGCAAAAGCATGTGTAGCATTCGTTTAAAAGGGTGCATATTAGATCCTTAAAAAAGGGATTTGTGCCATCGCCAAACAACTCCTAAAAAGGAGCTAATGCACCTCGGTCAATTGGTGTACTTTGGCACAGCACTGAAAAAGTGTTGTATTTTAGAATGGTTGCATTTTACTTTTACAAGTAGTATATAGTGTTTTTGGTGACCTTGGCCGGTGACTCTAGCCACGGCTCTCCCTCCCTCTGCCACCGCATGGGCAATAGTTTGGCAGAAGCCATTCGAGGAGTGGGGGCCCGATGAGTGGCTCCCACTCTCAGGGCCTGTTAGTGCCCCGCCCTATACAAGGTGGAAAGCACCGTATCGGTCAACCGGGGGGGTTGCTTGTACCAAGAGGCCGTTGTATAGCTCCTGCCCCCCCTGGGTATCCCGATGTGCCGTATGGCATACCGTAGGGTGAGCGGTTGGATGCCAATCGCACTGGTGCGAGGTGCGACCCCCGGGTGTGCAAGGCACTCTCTCCAATGCGCAAGGGAGGTGCGCAGGCCCGGTGGAGGGCGCGGCGGCTGGCAAAGAGGGCCGCGCATGAGGCGAGAGTGGTGGCGACTGCCGTACTACGCCATCCACGCAGCAGGAGTGGCAGAGGCGCGGTGGAGCTGGAGGCTGCCACGGAGGTTGTGCGGGAGGCGATGCACGGCTTGGAGACCACGCTTGCACAGTGCAGTGGCGGGGTGGTTCGGCCACTAGTGGACGATGCCCGTCCTCCGCACCATGATGCCGGTGGAGAGGTGGGCCAAGGCGGGGAGTTTTGGGGCACCGGCGCAGGATGGCGCCGCGGTGGGCGGCACTTCGGACATGCAGGGCGAGGCGGAACGCGGCGCACAGGTTTTGGGGGGCGGGGACGAGCTAATGACGGACGCGCGGGGTGGTGCAGTGGGTGATGACGAGCTTTGGAGTGATGGCGAGGAGGCCGGCAGGGTCGGAGAGCCCACCAAGGATTGCGCAATCAGTGCAAGATGAGCGGAGGTGGAGGGGCCCCTTGTGAAGGAGGAGCCCGAGGAGTTCTGAGCTGGCACGGCAACCGGCGAGTGAGTGGCACCGCGGTGGAGATGGCGGGAGCATGCTCGGAGTCCCTGGGCGCGGAGAGTGGGGGGCGCCGTGATTCTCACGTGGGTGCGGCGAGGGGGATGATGGAAAACGAAAAGTACTAAGTTGCATTTTGGTATACGGGTTTTGTGGCGAGGGCTGGGGGGTAGGTTACCCCACGTGGGGCTCATGATGTATGTTTGATATAATTAATGATTGGAACAATCAAAGTTACATGTTGGAGATCGTGATGGTGGCGGCGTCGCCTTTCTTTGAGTTGTTTTGTGTGGTGCTGTGACCGGTGAGCCGAACAGATGGACCGTCTGTAAGCATTGAAAGCTACCGAGCTGCTAAGTGTGTGCTGGTCTGTGACTACCTCAGCCTGTCGTGGAGGTGTATGGGACATGTTGAGCGCCGTACCACAAGCAGCAGGGCGAAAAAGGCATTTGGAGTTGGTGTCGCACGTCTTGCGGGAAGTAAGGGTGCGTGCGTGACGGCCCCTTTGGGTGTGAAGTGACAATTGCAGTGCTTGTGCATGTTTGTGTGTGTGTGTGTGTGTGTGTGTGTTGTGTGTGAACGCTGGCAACTAGTGTCCACACCCCCACTCGCGTTTCCTTGGAGTTTGTGGTTGTTTAGTGAACTAATCTGGCCGGAGATCGTTAGCCACCTGTTTGTAAATTTGCGAACTCTTGACAAGTACCCTATTGTTAGTTTTGTCTCAGTTGGGAATGACCTGTTGGTAAGGGAATTGGTCAAAACTCCAGCTGAATATAGGCAGCTGGTTGTCTTGAGCCTCTGTATGTCATTGAGAGTCTTTGCATGAAGTAACAGTGGATTGAAAACCCCTAGTACTCGAATTTTGTTACTATCATTGGCTGGAGTGTGCAGCCTAAGAGAATTGTATTTGGAGCATGTCTAGTAGCATTTCCACTGTCCTAGTAGTGAAAACAGTACAAACAATAGCACTTAGTCACAGAACGTTTTATTCATCTCTGCCAGCTGACTCGGCCATTAAACAAAACGGCCAGGCAGCGCTATCACGCCCGATTTGCTGCGCCACAAACCCCGGATGGCGCTGTTCGCTGTAGAGTTTGTGCGCAGCGGGCACACACGGCGATGACTGTACATGACGGCACTTCCCCGCTTGTTCTTGCCGAGGTGCCCGATCATTCCCTCCAGCAGCAGGGCCCAAGCTGGGTTGGGCCAGGAGGGCCCCGCAGCGACTGGGGACGATCGCGGACTGAAGACGTCAGGCTTGAGCTTCTGCGCGGTGAGGATACGCCTGCTGACATGTGGTCTTCATGGTGCTTCGATGCCGAATGGCCCCTGGCGAGTCGTTGCCCACAGCGAGGCCTGCGTCTGTTGGCGCCAACTGCTGCGCTTTGGGAGCACTCGACGCACCGGGGAATCCGCTTTCAAATTTCTTTTTAGTGCGGAGATCGAGGTCGTATTCTTTTGCGTCTTCCTCTGGCTAAGGTCGTGGCAGTTTTCGGAATTGTTGCGCAAGGTACTGCCGATGGATGCGCAGATTTGTTCTTCACAGCGACGGGCTCTTGTGCTGTGGTGGCTGCCGTTGTTCCCGTTGAGCGTGGGCTATGCGCACATGGCACATCCTAACGGCTGTCGGTTGCGATATTTGTGTGGGGTTCTGACTTGTGGCAGACCCTGGAGCCACAATGCCCCTTGTGAGCCCTGCAACAAGTGAAGCCGGGATTCTCTCCCTGAGCTTCAATCAGGACAACTCCTGCGTGGCTGTCGCAACTCTGGAGGGCATAAGAATATTTGGCACTGATGTGCGACGGGTGCTGTACAGTTATGATGTTGGGGCTGTGAGGTAAGCAAGGTTGGGCTCTGGAGAGGCCTCATACAAAAATAGGAAACTCGTTGCATGACAGCGGTTCACTGCTGCTGTCAAAGTTTGCCGTGCACTGGCCATTTGCATCTGCACGGTGTTGCTATTGTTTGCCATGGGTTCCTGGGTCTGCCGCAGATGGTATTGACTCACTAGTTGCCTGGTTGTTGGCTTCTTTGCAGCCTTGTTGAGATGCTCTTCTGCACAAGCTTGATGGCGTTTGTTGGGGCAGGTATGGGAACAAGGTGCACTAACTGTCTTCGAAATGGTGTAGATGGTGCAAAGGGCCTCTGAAATGTTCTCAAACTGCTTCAATATGCGCTCGGCACTTGCTCTTCCCTGGAAAGTTGTAATACAGCAAAGGCGCAGTATTGCCCTAGTTGGTCTCCCCAGCTTTGTGGTTTCATGTGGGCTAGAGACGAACCAGAACTGAGGAAGCCTTCTGATCCTGTGGTCACCAAATTGTTTGAGTCCGCTACCTTGCGATAAGTGGACATTGCCCGCTACCTAGTTCTGCAAGGTCCGAATATCAAGGTCCTTGGCTGCGCCACTAGTTCAAACCAACTTGTTGTGAGAATTGGCCCAGTGCTGTGAGCATCTAGGAAAATCATAGGAATGCGAGAACATGCAAGCCAGAAATTCACCAGCAGTTACAGCAATGTTGACTGCAGAATCTGAAAAGGCAAATGAAGTGGGAAGAGTTCCTGCGGCACACACCCCTTGATGCCTGTAGCCTTACTCCATGCTCTGGGAGTTTTAGGTTGCACAGCATGGCTCAGTAGGCAACTCTCACACCACAGTGATGGGTTCGACCTTGCAGAAGCGCCTGGCAAGAAATTCTCCACCAGTCAAGCAGATCACATGTGAATGAACAGTTGCAAGTGGCTAGTTCAAGGAAAACCCGATGTATTTCACCACGTGGTTGGCCATGGTCTGCAGGGAATACTGTTGTCATCCATTCCTTTGCATGTGTGGCTGTGTTCTGGATGAAGCTCTGCCTTTCATTTGCTGGAAGGAAGGGGAACACATTGTTCTCACTGGTGTTGTCAGCTGTAGGAGACTCCACATGCTATGTGACACAAACTGATGTCCAAGTTCATTCTTGCATTGGCGATTGTAAAGCAGGCTGCCACGAGAATTTGGCCTTGCAGATGTTGATTGCACAGTTGGTTTTCCTGGACTACATCATTCTGCTGTCTTTGGCCAGTGTGCACAGTGGCCAAGTGCCTAATGTTTTGTGTGATTTCAGGTGAGCAGCCTGCCCTCACTCCCAGGAAGCTGGTTCTCATGAACACAACTTCTCAGAAGGTCATCAAGGAATTGACCTTCCCCGCTGCAATTCTTGCAATAAAAATGAACAGGAGGAGGTGAGGCCCTGGCACTGGCATTGTGGCGGCATTGCTGTGTTGTTACCTTTCTGTTCTGCATTTCTTGTGCTTGCGATGATGTACCAAAGCAGTTTGAGTCATGTGTGCTGTCCTCCTTGCTTTGCATGCATGTGCATCTTGGCATTGCCTTTCACACAAAAAGAATCTGTGCCTGGTGTGAAGGTTGGTGGTTGTGCTGGAGAGGAAGGCCTATGTTTATGAGCTGGACACGCTGTCCCAGTTGAGAGTGTTGGACACGCCTCCCAACCCAAAGGTAATGCTTGATGTTGATGTTTTCCTCTGGCAACATGATTTAATTCATGCTTGTGTCTGGCACTGGCCTAGCTCCACAGCCCAAGGTCCAGTTGTCTGTTGAAAAGAGCTGTGACAGTAGATCTGTGCGTTGCAGGGCGTTTGCACGTTGTCATCTGGCACAGATCCATGCTACCTGGGGTTGCCATCATCATCAACATCGGTACGAGGTGGAAGAAAGGTTGCTTGCAAGAATGCTGGCAGCAGTCAGCTCCTGTGCAAGCACTGCTATCTGAATTGCCTGTTGCTTCTATTGTAACTCTCTGTTCTTTGATGCTCAGGGCGTGATGCGAATCTACGATGTGATGGTTGATGGTGGCAATGTGTTGTGCGAAATCAATGCTCACAAGGGTGCATTGGTAGGTGGAGTTGATGCACATTGCTATCCCCTTGCTGGTGCACACCTGGTGCTACCTTGGTGACAACCCTGTTACAGTCTGTGCGGTCTGTGTGCATTTGGAATCCCTGATTGCCTCTGAGTTGAGTATTTGGTTGATGTCTGGATTCCCTTTGCAGGCTTGCCTTGCGATCAATCATGATTCAACAATGATCGCGTCGGCTTCCTTGAAAGGGACCATAATTCAGATACACAGCTTACCTCAAGCTCAGAGGACCTTGAAGTTGAGGAGGGGCTCCACGCCTGCCACCATCCACTGTCTTTCTTTCAGTCCAGCTGGAGTGGATCCTCCTCTGTTGGCTGCGGCAGGCAGCCACGGCACGATACATGTCTTCAAACTGGAAGATGCTGACAAGTAGGATTTGTTGTTGACGCTGTTGATCTGAATGTATGTGAGATTCGGCTTTGCACAGAATCATGCCTCTGTCCAAGACAACTGAATTTCCAATATACAATACTGTGAATTTCACACCCCAGATAGGGCAGCCTTGTCCAAGATGGTGTGTTGTCAAATCCACTTTTATGGACCTTGCTGGCTGGCCTTGCTGGGCTCGCTGTCTTGCAGTCCAAGTTTCATTTCCCACTCTGTGGAAGATTTGTTTCCTTGGCTTTTGGCTTTTAGTCAGCAGTGCTCCAGAGTGGCTCAGACCCCTCCTACCACGTTTTGGGTTTGTGGGAAACTGAATCGTCATTCCAAGTGGCTCACAGCCACTGCCATGGCCCTGCCCTGCCAAAGGTATGCTTTACACTGGTGGGCCTCCCTGTTAATTATCCTCTCTGTGTGCACACATTCTTTGTGCAATCTGGTTGCATGCAGTGCTGGAAGCAGGTATTAGTGTCTGACACTCTTGTACAGGCTGGCTGCCTGTGAATCAAGCCATTCCTCCAGCGTGCTTGACATGCAATGGTTGTTGCAGGTCCCCTGTGATGACTGTTGCATCTGCTGCTGCAGGGGTGCTCTCTGCGGTCACAGGCTATGTGGTCAATGACATGGTGGGTACTTGTTTTGGTCAAGAGCCCAGCGTTGTTGGGAACACTCCTGATGTTAGTTTGCACTGGGTGATGTGGATGCAAATGGCCTCTTTGCAAGGGGCATTGGACTGCTGCGAGTGACCACCTCTTCAGTGGCTGTGCTTGTGAACAAGCTCGTCTTGTGGCACAGGGAAGCCAACCATTGACAGTGGGCTGTGCTTTTTTGGGGATACCATTGTTCTGCCTCTTGTGTGCTTAAATATCGACTGACACATTGGGACCAAGGTCTGCCTACTATTACTGGAAATTCCATGCTCACGCTATAATAGATGCAACAAGAAGGAAAGTCAAATTCATGAGCTCGTGAGAATCTTGTCAAGATATTCGCCATGCCTCGACATCTTCTCTTTAACAACAGGGATTGCGCTATTGTTGAATGGGCTTCCCTTCTGTCGTGGGACACTCACCGGCGTTCGTGTGGGCTGTGGCGGTTACTGTGCATGTGTTGCGGTGCAGATCGACCCTGTTCGAAGCACAGTGTCTGTTTCTCTTCCCTGCCAAGGTGTGCCCTCCATTTGTGCTGTTCTGAACACTGCCAATGTGGAAGATGATGGAGATCAAGAACACGATAGTCAGAACAGTCCTGTGGACCCAGAGTCAGATGGGGTGAGTGCCTACTGAATGCAGCTTTGGGGTAATTCTGCACAGCAGTTTGCTTTGCATACATGAGCATCTGATTATACCACGTTAGAAGTGATGGTCATCACACAGCCCCAGTGGTGAAGTGCGAGCAGGGAGTTACCTCTCTTGCCAAGATTATGATGGCACGCCAGGTGCCATGATGGTAGATGCTTTCTGCACAAACTGCTCTGCAGATTCGTATTCGGTTTGTCCATGTAGGAACAGTGTTGTATGTTCACGGGATGCACTGATGCATGGACTGACTAGCGCACCATGTTTTGCAAGTACTTCCTCCGTCCCAGATTAATTGTCGTCTATTTGAAAGGCTAAATTTGTTATAAGGACAGCCTCAGAAGTTCAAAACAAGGTCAAAATCGAAAAGGTTGCATCTCAAAAACTATGGCTATCAATTTTCAAGAAGGAAAAGTGAGACATGACCCTTTTGAGCGCAAGGAGAAGGTAAATTTTGGTCATTTTCGACCCCAAATATTGAGATTTACTATGAAGAACGACCCTTAATACAAAGTACTGCTAAATACTCAATACTTAATGGATTGACTTAAAAATTTTATGGTGTACTCTCAACTCAAAAAGACAACCGTAGGCGAATTTTCATTAAAACAGGTGTGGGCATGATGGAGATATAATGCCCCAAAATCATAGACGACAATTAATTTGGGACGGAGGAAGTATGTTGCGATAAAAATTCAAGCGGAAACAGCTGTTGAGACGTTTGTTGTTCTGTGTTCAGGTGATGCTTGTTGTGGCCACAGCAGATGCGTTCTTGTATGAGTACCGTATATCAGGTATGGAACTGTTCCATGTGACTTGAGATTGCAGTACGGAGTTTAGGATGTAGGGCTAAGGACAAACTGTGTTGGCTACAGTTAGGAAAATGGTGGTGTGCTCTTAGTATGGAGGTGCCTGGCGGTGCTGCTACCATTTCAGCATGCCACTAGAGGGAGATAGTGTATTCGTATGTGGTGATTGGCCGGCATTTTATGGCTTATTTATGTGAGCGGAACCCAGCCTAGATCAGGCACTGCTGGCAATATCACAAGCATTGCTCCTTGTCATTCACCGCACAACATGTACCTGTGCAACTGGACTATTCAGTGTGCTGTTTTTAATGCTGTTGTTTGGCATTTCATATTGTGTGCGCGGATGTGCGAGCAACCGCACAGCCACTCTTCAGCATGGGAGAACTCCAGGTTGATGCAGTTACTGTGTGCATCCTTGTAGATTTCAGGTCTGGCGATGGTCCGAAGGCAGTTCGCTCAGGTGTGACAACAATCCCCACATCACTGCCCTTACATTTGATGCAATAGCTGTTTCAGTTGGCGACAGTCCTTTTTCACCTTTTTTGCAAGTTCTTTGAGCACTCATGATGAGTCTGGAATGTGTGTGGTGAGTTGTGGATTGCCATCTCAATTGTTTGAAGTACTGTTTCAACACTATCTACTGCGGGAGAGCCACTGTCGAATCCAAGTGTGTGCTGCACATTTCAAAAGAGAGGCAAGAATCTCACCAGCAACCTGGTATGAATCCAAGGTGTGGATTCGACAGTGTGGGGGGCCAGCATCTTGCGGCACACGACATGATTCATTTGCCCTTTGGGTGTTTGTTCGTTTCCGGTCCAGTTGAGTGTATGGAAATGTATTAGGTGGAATAAAGCTGGGTGTGATGCCAACGGGCCATGGCATTGTGGTCACCGTCACTAGAGAGGCCGCAACACAACGTGCATTGTAATATGTGCTTGACAGCGATAGTTTAAAACTTTTTGTTGGGCATCGTATCTCGCGGGTCGTGGGTTCTGATACCTTGTCACCTGAAGTCACGCCATGGCATACGCCAAAGTGCAGGCTTGTTGAAGGAAAATGCCTGCCTGTTGCTATATGCCTGACGACTCTCGCCATGAGATTGGGGAAATATTGGCGAATCATGTTGTATAGGCAGACACCAGATGGTGAGACCGGCGTTGGCATTATCTGAACGAAGCAATGCAATTCCCTTGCATATGCAGTGCTTTCATTGCCAATGAAGCCACAACAACATATTGTCGCGCCTTTGATGTGCAGGAGAGTGCCGGCTCTTGGGGACAAGGAAGCCCAGGTAGTGCAGCCTGTTTGGGGATGGCTGTTGCTGACACCGCCCATATTATTGTTGAAGGCTCCAGGCCTGGAGTCTTCGCACTGGTGACAGCATTGCGTCCTTGATTGAAACCTGCATTTCTGGGAACTGTCTTCCTGCGTGCGACGGCGCGCCCCTGCGAAGCTTATCCTGGAGGTCAACGGCGTAATGTGCTGGCAGCTGTGTGTCCTTTTGACATCGCCCTTTGTCGCGCACGTTGATTCTCACATGCTGTTCGCAACGCCACTGCGAATATTGCTTGTAGATGAGAGAAATCAGGGCCTGTGGTTCTACGTTGCTGTAGGGTATGGTGGCACCGATGACTGTGTTTTCACCTTTCAGTCAATAGGGAGAGCACGATTTCGCTGTAAAAACAAGTATGGGACGAAGGCACACACGCAGAGCGCTCACGAATTCTTGAATGGACGCATAGGTCCGACACCTGCTTGCGGCAGCCTGAAGTTGCCGTCAGCAGCACGTGCTGCGAAGAACATTGTTATTGAGACACCCGTGTGTGGCCCCAAAGACCACAGCACGCCGCACAAGCACTGACAAACGCACGTCTCGTGCCCCAAGATCTTGCGACCTGGCACGCGATGCAGTAACTTGGCCGCACAGTTAAAAGAACCAAAAGGGCACTTGCACAGCTCGTTCTCGCAATCAATGCAACAAACCCAGACCTTCCATGCTGGTGCTCGGCATTCGGCCTGGACTCTGTTCGTTCCTTGCATGCTCTTTCAACATCACGGGCAGAAATCCGTTCCTGCATTACAACCTGTTCCACTGCACTGCAAATGCAATTTGTGCAGACATGCAACACCCCCGGTAATGTCAGGCTAACAGCTCACCAGACAATGGCGCGTGCACAATGCGCCAGGCGGCATGGATTGCGTGCAAAGTGAATTCACATTTCTTCTGGACCCGTTTACTAATCTGTCGACCATCTGCAATTCTCAGCTACCACCTCTATCAACTAAGCGGCGCCTGGTTGTTGCTGACGGGCATTCGCACAAGGTACCCCAAATGCACTCGCCCTTTCGAGGAACACACACTCTATCACTGATGGGATTGGCGCCAGTGCTCAGCTTTATTTTCTCCTCCATCCATGGTATGCGATGCCGTGTTGGGCCTTCATTCTTCTCACCCGCATGGCGCACGTGGGTTGAAGTGGTCACCTAGCAGTGAGGTGCGACTCCAGTCTATGTTATGCTCTGGTGCGTCCCTCTTCTGGTAGTCCACATGCACAAATGCTCGCTCCACTCTCTGCAAGGCCTCGACCTTCATTTCACACAGCCGCATGCACGTAAGGTTGGTGATTGTCGAAGGAGGATGTGGCACCAGGGCAAAGTGTCTAGACCTGGACGAGAGCAACACAGCGAAAGGCTGCGATGGACTGGGAAAGACATGGCTCTATTTTTTCTTGTGCTTCCGCACTAAATCGGTATGATATCCACTCCAGCTCCCATTCGCGGGAGTTTGATTGTCCATCAGGCGTAAGAGGAGACCCGGAAATGGCCGCATCTGGCACAGATGCAAATAATCGGTGACTATCTGTTGTGCGAGATTCGCTAATTGTGAGTGTTGCTAGGCACTAACTCAGCTGTTGATTCGGTTGCAGCCACATCTTGAGCTCTCGCTGAACATATCAGGGACACCGCGTTCTCAGACGACTCAGAGAGCCGATGGCTATCTTCTCGCCTTGATATGCAAGACTTATTGATTGACTGCAGGCCACATCACAACTGAGAACAGAGGCATGGCAGTGATGCTGCACATTCAGCCCGCTCAAAGGTCCATGGCATGAAAGAATATACTTGTGTCCGTCTTTGACTGCAGTGAAGCACGTTACAGAATCCTTGCAAGGAGTTCCGACCTCGTTGATGTGCAAGTTTGCAACTGGTCAGCAATTGGGTTGCCATCACCTTCTGCTGGAGATGCACGGCCACATCGTGTGACTCTGCAACCGTCTTGTGCGGTGGGAAGACAACCTCGAGTTCCACAAAGTATTGGTGCCCGAAGTGGTACGCACGGATGACATCCACCTCCATGTCGCCATCGTGTGCATTCGCCAGAGCCTTAACGCCTTCAATGAAGCTGTCTGGGGCGCTTCGGCCAACAATCTGGTCTATTTGCTTCATCGCCAGCTTCACCCAGGAATAAATTATATACAGGGAGATCATGATTCCGCCTGTGGGGTCCACCCACCACAGCCTGCGCGCAGGGCCGAGTTTGTCGGACAAATGGACACCATGGCTCGCGCAAAGTGCGGACAGCTTCACGCCAAAATCCGAAAGAACAAAGCATGGGAATACCTCATGAGCATGAGCTTCTCACAGGTGATCGGTTGTGGAGAACAAGATCTCTGCTGCTTTCCAGGGCATCGCGCTCAAATTGTCCAATCTGCTGGGCAATATCGAGTAAAGGTAAAATTATACAACGATGCCGTTGATTTCGCATGTGTGCCCGTATACCCACAAGCGACCTTGGCTTTCTGTATCTAGAGACGACATCACGTGGAGGGATGACGCTAGCGCCGCTCAAAAACCCGAGTGCAACAGTGTCAATGAATCAGTCAATCAAATCGTGATGTCACCAGGAAGGGCAGATTATTGAAAATCCGACAGATCCGATCAGCTTATTGAATTTGTCCGACATCCACAAAACATGTTATCCTGCATTTTTTTCATTTTCCCTCATGCGAAGCACCCAGCTTGCGGCACACGCCCGGCACGCGCCCAGCACGCGCCCTGGCACGCGCACCCCGTCGACCTCGGTTTGGCAAACAAAAGCTCGACATCCAGTCAGTGCCAACGCCCTCTGGCGCGGCCCCAGACCGGTGTCTATTCTCGGCAGCTTGGTTGTGGCGGTGAGTGCGATCAGCAAGAACGGTCGACCACACGGGCGCAGGCGTTTTGGCAGGGCAGCACGGGCACAGCCCGAGCGTCGCGTCTCCCCCTGCCATCGCTGACAGCGACGCTGTCTGGCACGACGCCGAAACAAGATGTGCCAGGAGTCGTCCGGGCTGCGTGCACAAGGCGTCCAAACGCATCGTTCGTGGGAGCGCCGCACGGGGCGCCTGGGAGGCCCACCTGTCGCGGTTGCGGCTGGAGATCGCTGCAGCCACGACCGCGGCGGTGTTGCTGATGACGTCGTTCCAGTGGTCCTCCGCCAGGACGAGCACGGTGTCAGACACGGCCCTGTGGCTGCGGCAGTAGAGGAACAGCGCGGCTTTGAGGCCAATGGCGCCGCCGAGGATGCCGAACACCCAGAACCCGATCTCCAACTCCGGCGTGCCGCCTGCGAGCACCAGGGGCGCGGGGGATCAGGCCGACCGCGCCTGGGAATTCTACGGGAGGCGGGGGCGCTGGCTGCCGGACCAGGAAACACTGGTCTCACCTGTGCTGATGGCCTTCACCACTTCCGCTCCAGAAACCTGTATGACCTCCACCGCGCTGAGCGCCATTATGCAGGCGCTTATTATGGTGCCCACAGTCTCCAGGCGCGCCTTTCCAACAGGGTAGCGCGGATCCACGTGCTTCGCTCTCCGGTAGCAAATGTAAATGACAAGCTGGGACGCGATGTCCACCGCGGAATCCGCCAAACTGGCGAGCACGGACTTTGACCCAGACAGGATGAAACCCCACAGCTTGACGGCAAAGAGGGTGACGTTTGCCAGGAGGGACAGGGTGGTCGCGCGGCGCGTCGTTTTGTCTCTCGTCTGGTCGACGCCGGGTGACGGCTGGCGCAGAAAATCTAAGGTGGTGTGGTTGTTCGCCACGGCGTCCATGGTTGCTCCAGCCCGGTTTGCTTCGTGGTTCTGGGAGCATGTAGCCAGGGAGCGAGGGAGGGCTGCGGGTGTGCGGCCAACGAGCCCTGGCTGACTGGATCCGCGTCATGGCCATTGGAGCACCAAGAAAGGGCCAAAAAGTACTGGAGGCAACTACTGACGGCCGCACACGCACAACCAAACACACACAGCCACTCACGCACAACAGAGAAAAATCGAACTGCAGGAACGTGCTCCAATCCTGCAAAACTCTGCGCTGATCGTCGCTTGTGTGAGTTTAAAATACCTCACTTTCTGTCGTTCGCAAGTGCGCCCGCACAGCTTATGGATAGCATCTGCCTGGCTGGGCCATCATGCTGATCGGCACATGGGGCGGGGCGCCCCCGGTGCCGCAATGTACTGGGCGACGCTCTGGAATATAAGGCTATATCCCCGGGTATAAGGCAGAAACCCTCCGCAAAGATACATACAGCACATCCCTCACTATTCCACGCATGTTTTGAGCGTCCACCGCGCTGATGGACAGAGGATTAACGCAGTTAATGAGTTTCTGCATAGGAAGAGGCTGGGTGGGAAACGAGAACACATGGCAGCCTTGGTCGTCGCCCGTACGTCATGCCCAAGGGCGGCGAGTGTTAGCTGGCCAATAGCTGTATTCGGGCAAGCCTTTTAAGGGGAGCCACAGCCGGTTGATCACGTGGGAGGCTGGGCGAGTTCTGGCGGAAGGCAGGCGCTGCCTATTTTGGAGTGGCGCCCACTGAGCGTCTCCATCCTGTTTTGTTCTCCCCCCCACCCATCCCTATTGGTGTGATTTTGGTTTGAAGGAGGAATTAGTGTAGTGTAAAGTACTGGGGAAGTACTGTGGCTTTTTGAGTCGCGAAGCAAAGGGCTAATTTTATGGTCGACGGTCACTGGGCGTCGTTTGGGTGACGGACACCTGTGGAAGATGTTGTAACGCACTTGGCGGCAAGTGTGGACTTGGGCAGGACGAGGAACCCGTCAGGCAGTAGTTATTTTTGCTGTATTGGTTTCCTGTGTGAAAGTGTGCCTAAGCCCCCGATGTCGCCGGTGGGAGCCGCCACAGCCGTACTTTGCAACCCTCAGCAGGGAGCGCATGGAACCCGGCTGTTAGTAACAACTTGCCGCCCAAACTTCCCGCAATGGCCGCGTCCGTTGGCGAGGGCGGCCCTTGATTTGTCTGCGTGAATGGGCCCGCCCCGAGTGTGTCCTCCAATCCTTGGGCGGGCTGGCAATACGGGGGCATGAGCAGCGCGGTGCAGTGCCACCATGCCACGCTTCGTGCTGCGCGTCACGCTTAAGGCCGACCTCCTGGGGCTGGGCTTCGAGCAAAAGGTGCAGCTGTTCGCGTGGGGCAGGGATGAGGACCCCACAGCGCTGCAGCGGGCCCCGCGGGTGGCGGACGACGACCCCCTGATCGCGGAGCTCAGGTGCAGGGTGGAGAGCGACGGCATCACGGTGGAGCGCATGAGCTTGGGTGGGGAGAAATGCGACGACGCGTTCTTGCGCCGCTGGCTGACGGCCAAAGGCCGCGACGTCGGCGTGGCGACGGACGCCATACAGGCGCACGCGGAGTGGAGGCTCAAGTACGTGCCATGCGGAAGGATCACCGAGGTGCGTCGCGGCAGTGGCGTCCATTGATTTGGATTGCCGTTGGATGCTGCATCCAAATTGGATTTCGCCTTCCTGCCCGCTGGACTTCGATCGCGAGGGTTATGCGCCCTGGCTTGGTTTTGCTGCGCGCCTCACCGCATGAATTGCCAGTGTGTGCGGGAGCACACGACGGGGATGTTCTTGGCGGGGCGCGTAGGCGCCGGTGCGCATGGTCCACTCCCCGGGATTGAGCGCGGCAATGGTTGGCCTGGTTGGAGTTTATTCCGTTGTCGCTTATCGGACCTGCGCAATCCGGATTAGGTTCAGGTTGCGCTGAGGTTTGCAGATGTGGATTTCGGACAACACGATGTTCGGAGGCGCACGGAACGAACCGCCCGCGCCATTGGCCTTGAGCTGGTTTTCGTTGTGTCACGTGGGCAGGAGGAGATCTCTGGAGAGTTGGCTGCGAAGAAAGCGTACTTGCAAGGCTGCGACGACAAGGTGTGACACCGTGGTGGCGTGTCCTGCGCTTCGATTTCCTGCCTTTTCCAATGGTTTGCCGCTCGTGGCCTGCTACCTTACAGTGGCCGCCAGCTTGAAAGGGGGATGTGCACACCGGTGATAGATTTGAGGTTTGAAAGCCAGCAATAAACGCGACGCAAGGTGCGCTGAACGCCCCTTCCTGTCGGGACTGCGATGTGGTTTGTTGCAACCTGGGTGACTGTGTCCCTCTGTAGCTCGTGTGTTGTATCATTGTTTGTATTTTTTCATGCAGGGGCGGCCCCTCATCATCTTCATGGGCAGCAAGCACACATTGGCTGACAGAAATGTGGACGAGACTCAGCGTTTGATATGTTACACCATGGACAATGCTGGACTGATGTCAGACAGTTCAGAAGGCGGCGATGGCAAAGTGTACTGCCTCTTCGACCTGACTGGTGAGTGTGTGGTCATGTGTGCAGAGCAAACCGTAACAATAGCAAATGTGGTGGTGCCTGGTTGGGTCTGCTGAATGCAGTGCTGACTGTATGGTTCCCGATGTGCAGGATTGCGAATGGAGAACCTTGATGCCCAGGGATTTTCAGCCATCTTTGACGTTCTTGAGAAACACTACCCTGAGAGGTGAGTCCAGCATGCATTGTCTGTCCTGTGCGCAGTCTCTGCTTGTGCTGGATGTGAAACTCCACATGAGCAGTGCAGAAGGGGTGAAAGGGCTTAACGTTTGAGCGAGTGCTCTCGCCTGGCACTTGGCTGCACAGGAGTTGAGCATGGACATAGCTGATGAAATGCACACTCAGCCTGGTTTGCTCTGTGTGCTTGCATAGGCTTGCGGTGCTGTGGTTCCTCAACGCACCATTCCTGTTCTGGGGCGTGTGGCGACTGATCAGCCCGTTTGTCAATGAGCACACACGGCAGAAGATCCAGTTTGTGAGTGGCAGGGGGAGCAACACCCCCTTGAAAGACCTGTTGCCTCTCAACATCCTCCCAAGTCGCTATGGTGGGCTGGGGGAACTTGTGGCAGCTGACGATGCTGTTCAGGCTCTGTTAGATCAGCAAGAAGAGTTGCCGAGCCTCTCCCCTATTCTTACAGAGGTTGGTGACCGCAGTCCCAGAGTTGGGACACCTGTCAGGAGAGTTAACTTGCGGAATTGGCTGATCAGATGGAGAGGATCTGGTAGATTTGGGAGCCGTCCTGGAAGCCCTGGCAGAAGGAGAGCCAATCTCAGGATTTGGGCGGGGAACAGATGGAGGGACATTCGCAACAACCCTGTGGCAAGGTTGTTTGGTGTCCATGTCAACAGCTGGGTGGGCTTCTTGGGACCAAAGTTGAATAGGCACAAGGAAGGATATGAGGGGCAGTATGGTGCGCGCCGACGCCGGCTCGCTGAGCTGAGGAAATCGATTATCAGGCGTGAGCCAACAGGACATATTCGGATTATGGATCGCCGGGTCCCTGTGCGTGCAATCGTCGTTCGCGTTCTAATTGCAGAGTTGCTTATCATTGTTCTGAATCGGGCTCGCTTTGCAGCTTTCAGTGCATTTGGCTGGGGCCAATTGCCCTTGACGTGAAGTGAGGCAGCTGGGCAGCATTCGGAGGATCATGTGGGTGTCTTAGACTGTCAATGTGTGAACAACGCAGGGTACATATGTATAAGGAGAAAATTTGCACGAATAGTATTAGTGGCGTAAACTTTGAGGGCGCTTGTGGCAAAGCTTGCTGGGCTGTATGTACAGGAACTGAGTTCAACTTTGTCAAGAAAGAGGACGCAATGTTGTATAGCAGGTTGTGTGCGAATGTGCATCTCAAATAGTGGGCTGCGGCTGCAGAATGGGGAAGCTGTTAAGTGCGTGGATGGTACCACAGCAGAGCCTGGTGGCGCAGTTGTGAAATATTTTCTTTGTGGTCAAGTTGTTTATTGATAGCATGGGTGAGGCCAAACGAAATGCAAATGTCAGTTCTCTGTGGCCTGGGCTGCCCTGGGAGAGCAGCAGGGCAGCACCATGGCTATTCCAATTTTGCCATTACTTTCTGTGCCTGCCTATCCAAAGTCGCCCTATGCTGCTCTCTGGACACAGTCACATGGCATTGTTCGAGGGCATGGCTTTGGAAGCCCAATCGAGGGCTCAGGGCGCGAGTGCATTCTGCAATTCCTCGAGTTTTGGACGTGTGTTGTGCTTCAAGTGGATGTAATCAAGCACGTAAAGTGGTGCGCACTTGTTGCCACGACTGTTTGCCCTTGGCACAACGACCATACGCGCTTGGGGAGTGTGCCACCCCCTTTGCCCTGTGGAAGGGTCCCAGCAGCGTGATGGGCCTGATTCCAAAGAGGACTGCCCACTGAGACAGTGCTTTCAGGTGGTGTGCTGAGAGGAGAACTTTCTGCTGTGGTTGCACCATTCTTCATTGATTGTGTGTCTTGAACCTACTACTCAATGATTCGCAGACCAGAAGTGTGTTGTGCAATGGGGGGCCCCTCCTCAGCGAAGCATGTGACACATTCTGCATTCTGTAAGATGATGTGCTTGCAGTAGGAGTTTTTCAGCATCATGAAGAATAGTTGCGCAATAATGAGTAACCTTGGGAGCATGAAACTGCCATGCAAGCCTTCCTTTCTTGTCCATGTCAACTGCTGGCCATGATCGCTGTGCGACTAACAATCTGCAGTTGTTGCATCATGCTCGAAAATGGGGATTAAAAACGAGAACGATGATCGAAGATGGACGCTGGGTGCTCTGAGCATGCTCCATAGACAGCCAGCATCCCCGTAAGCTTGCATGAGCTCGCAGGTGGCGCACACACAATAGGCAAACCGCAGGACTTCTTACAGGTTTGTCCGGGCTTGTTCGACAACGAGACACAGTCCTCTCAGTCACCACCGACTAAATAAACTTGCAGCCTACCATATCCCCATCCCGCTCACTCTGAACCTCACCCTATGATCCGCACTCAGAACTCTACCACAAACACGCACAAACTCCCTGTCGCCCTTGTGTCCCTTTGGAGCTCACTATTCCGGTGCTGGGTACCCCTTCACACTAATAACTCCTTTTACCCTGCACCCACAATTGTAGCCCTACTCACCCAAACTTTACCCATAGTCTGCCGGCTCACAATCTGACTCTGAGCTACCCTCTCCATTCGAAAATCCAACAACACCCTAGTAGTGAAGCGGTTTTGCCGCCATCTGCTCAACCCGTTCTGTGCGCTCATCATCCCACACCGTGAACGCCTATTCGTAACTCCTGCCTCTTCCCTCCGTACTCCATGCAACGTCAGTTTGCCATGCCATGTTGAACCTCATGGGTACCACTCCGTATGTAGAGAGCTTCTTGAATCATTCCATTTGGGTTAGCGGTAGTGGAGTTACAACTACTAGAAATCGCAGTACTTAAGGTACATACCTTACCCCTTTGCGACCGTATTGAGGGATAAGATATTATCGATACGCTGACACTATCTGCATTGTCACATAACATGGGGCACGCCAAAGGGTGACCCCAATGCCCGACTGTTTGTAACTCTTGCCAACCACTCGCCTCCGAGCGGCAGCACCTGCAAACCACACCGGCATTGCGCAACCACTGCGCGCACTGCAGCCCCGCCGTGGGGCCCCCGCGCCTGGCTGATCGTAGGCCTGGGCCTACACTGCACATGTTACGCACAGGCCTAGTGTGGGGGACGCCCTACCTCAGTCTCCGGGAGTGGGGGACGCCTTGCCTAGGATACAATAATGTCTCCCCAAACTGGATATTATATTATGTATTATTATATGGGAGTAGGCCGGGGTGGTCCCGCCTAGGTCCTTGTAAGGACGTAGGTGCCAGGCCTTGGCAAAGCGAGCCTGCGATTTAAAGAGGGCAGGTGCCCCACTCCAAAAAGGTTGTTGTCTCATTTGGTTTCAGAGCCACCTGGGGTTGGCCCACCCGTGGCCAGCGACAAGACAAGTAAACACGTGGAGCGATGGTTCCTAGCCTCCATGATGGAGGTTGAGGAAACAAACCCTCCATCCCATGAGGGCATGGCCATCGAGGTGGCCACAACATCCACAACCAGAGATGGCGAGCCAACCACGGAGGTCAGCAACATGGAGGCATCCTATGAGGGACAAGGGTAAGATGAACGAACAGTCCGTGTTGTGGCCCTGAAGGGCGCCGCTGGTTCCCGAAGCTCGTGGGGTCGCCACGCCCTGCGGCTCGGCTGTTGGAGGTCAGCCGGCCCTCTCCACCGAATTTGGTGGGTGGTAGCGGGGCGCTCGCTCCCTCGGATGCACGGTGGGCCCAGAACGATGGGTATCGTCCCCCGGGGCCTGCTGTATGCGGCGGGTGGTGGCGCAGCCAGACGGTGGCTCGCTAGCTCGCGGAGAGATCAGGCAGTGGACCAGAACGGTTACACGATTCACAGCATGCGCGCGCACAAATCCGCATGTGCGATGCCCGATCGCGGGTCCATTGCTATCACATCAAGACAAGACAAGTCAAGTGCATGTCCAGGCACATCGTCGCCATCCACCGTTCAACTACGATCGACCTAATATCCTCTAATTCCAAGCATCTAACACCCGACCCCCTGGCCCTAAGTACTACAACTTCAGGAGGCCATATCTTCGCCGTTTCTTAACGGAATCGGGCGTTTAAAAGCTCGTTGGAGCCAAGAAGCTCTAAATAACACTCACAAAATGTACATTTACCAATTACATAACTAACACTCCAGAAAATGTCAATAACTGCCTATCCCCAAGTAGCCACGTCACAGTCCGTGAGGACACAGCCGAGGGATCCGCTGGTCAGGCGTAAGTTGGGGCGTATGACCAGCTGATGGAAAAAGCAGGGCAGACCCCGAAGCCGTGCCAATGGAGCCGGGCAGCATGGCAGCGTTACTGCAAGCTCTTGGGATGATGGAGCTGCAGGAGAGGATGGCGGAAATAATGGTCAGCAAGGCACAACAAGCCCGCGATTGTGAGACTACCGTTCAGATCACAAAATTGGACATCGAATCTACTGCAGCCCAAAAGGAGGCATGCCACCACGAAATAGCCTTAAAAAAGATCAAGGAGCAGAGCAATGAGGTTGAAGCTAAGAGGGCCTCCGCGCAGGAAGAGTTGGCTTGACAGAGCGACTGTAAGGGCGAAACGCTAAATTTTGGCATAATGAATAAGGGCACATTGCCCCGTGTTGCTCAAACACGCTCAGCACAAGAGGGAGTGGTTCTTGGGGCCCAAGCGGGGTGGGTTAGAAGGGATACAGACCAACGGGCCTTGGGGACCAGCAGGTCGGTAAACAGGAGAACAAGGGACAAACCAATTATAAATTTGAAACCTAGCGGTTGTGCTAGAAAAAGGATGACTCATCCTATTTCTGGCATGACACTTGGGGTCCCTTGGGAGGCGGGTATAAATATAGTCACACCAGACTAGTTTGTAATCGAAGTTGTGACTCGAGTTCCAACTGGACCAGCCCCCGAATCGAACGGGGTGAACGGGCCATTTCCCGACCGGCCAAAAGGGGACGTCACCCCTTACAATTGGTTTTGGAACTTTCGATTCTGACGACCTTGAAATGACGGGAGTCAAGGACTGTGGTGGCAACAAAGGGTTGGGAGCTGCTGAGGGGTGGTTATCACTATAAACAATAAGAGAGAGACCGCATGGTTCCATCAATCCAAAGGACAGCCTGAGAACACTGAGAAGATGCGGCTAGAAGACCTAGATATAATGGGTGGCATGACAAGAAATAGCGGGAGAGCCAAGCCGAGGGCTGCAACAATGAAAAGGAATTGTTGAGGGGTGGGAGTCATCACAGCAAACAAAGAAACCGTATGGAATCCGTTAACCCAAGAGGACAATTCGAGGAAACCAAGATACAGGGGCCAGGGGCCCTAGGTGCGTGGGAATGGCACAACGAGAAATGGCGGGAAAACCGCATGGAAACAATAGCCGGTTTGGAGCCAGGCAAGAGGGATTCCTTGGAGGAGAAGAAAGAAGAAGAAGCAATAAACGAGGCGTTGAAGTCTTGGTGGGGAAGACAAACGCGCTGGTGGACGACGGTCTATAACATGGGCCTGTATGAAAGGCCACAAGATTAGGAAGAGTACAACAAAACATGGCAAGACTATGAATGGTGGGTCGACACGCGACGAGAGCCATCAGTAAGGAAAGATCTGACTGAAAAAATTAACGAGATACAATTGAAGCACGGGAAGCTGCTTCGCTTCAAGGGAATGCTAGGCAGACAAAGGATCCGAACATTGATTGATAGCGAAGCTACCGGTAACTTCATCAGCCAAGAATCCTATAAATAATACAACATACACTAAAGAGAGAAAGGCGACACCCAAACACTACACCTGGCGGATGGAACAGCATGGCGCATACCTGAGCGAGAGGTGGATACATACAAATTGCGGATAAATGAATTTAAATGCCAGCCAACCTTCCAAGTTATGAAGTTGGTACATCACGACGAGATTCTGGGAGTGCCATGGCTATGCGAATTCAACCCAAGGATCAATAGGAAGACCAAGATACTACAAATCAAAGATGGGAAAGGACTACGGATACTAAACGAACTAC